GTCACTGCTTCGCTTTTTTTGTCACGATTACCGCAACCTCTCTCAGTAGCATGATTATGCAACATCAACGCTAGACTACATTGCCTTAACCAAAGTCCTTGGTGACAAAAGCACCGTAGTTTCTATATTGAGGAAGGCATTGTTGCACCATTATTGTGTCTAACATTTAATGGTGCCGTAGTCAGGGTACATGATTCTTGTGTTGATGCTAAGGATTTAAAATATACTATTCATTCAGCTTCATGGTTCCTTGTGAGTCCACCGCTGCCATAGTGCCATGCTACATCTTGTCGAGCTTTTATTATTATGTCATTATTTGCATCATTACTTAGACTTTCCACTTACAAGGTTCATTTCTGTTTGAATTTCATATCGCTTTCTACGCATGGGCTTATCTATATCTCTTATAATCCTAAACCCCATTAGAATATTATCTTGATATGCAAGGTGTCCATATCGCCAATTCACTATCACTATAATCCTAAACATCTCTTATAATCCTACACCACACTAGAATATTATCTTGACATGCAAGGTGTCCACATCAAGCAATTCAATCGCCACTATAATCCTAAACCCCACTAGAATATTATCTTGACATGCAAGGTGTCCACGCCAAGAATCCACTATCACTTGCAATTAAAGTTCACTAGCACAAGCAATTATGATATCCACATCAACAAGACACATCATCCACTAATATATATTTAGTTGTCCACGTCAGCGTGCCACGCTAGCCACTAAGATTAGTTTATAATAGTTAATCCCTTCCTAAGAATTGTATGAATAGTTTAGTTTCATTCCAAATCAGAGTCTCGTAGCAACGCAAGTGGGTATGCTTCTAGTATAGTTGATGTTTATGCCTTTATTCTTATTAAGTAAGGGGATGTTGGATACATAGCGCCCAAAGAGATTCAGATTTACACAATTCTCGATTTCCATCGACCTTTTTCTTCCTTGCTATTCCAGGGTTGTGGTGAATGAAATTCGCTTTCAAAACTTAAAGTATAAAGGTAGGTCAAGAGTAATGTGCTTACTTCATTAGAAAACCGATTAGGTAACTCTATTTGCGTATATTCTTTTTGAACTATGCAGATAACTGCAGATATTCTATGTCTTGTACATGTTGCTAAACCAAGTTATCTTTGCCAACCCTAATAAATATATAAACTCTTTCTATGACTTGGTTGATTTAATTTACATGGCTAATGTATTCGTAATTCATTTGATTCCCTTTAAAAATATCATGTGAACATCTTAGAATGAAGCCTCGTGTTTATAGTAAAAAGAATCGGTTTTTGGGCCTTCAGATGTCATACTATTAGGGTATTAACAAATGCGATACAACACCGCTTGTTAATAGCATTATAGGCTTGATTTCTTCTTCAATGTCACTATGCGTGGTACACGTCGCATGCACGCAGGTACACGCACGTATGCGCTGCGCGATCTATAGATGCGCCTCATGTGTACGCGTTGTACTATTTACGCACGCGTGGCACATAGACTCACCCGCTCGTAATAATCTCCTCGCTAACATTAAATGTTGTTTTATAGATATGTTGTACCATATATCTCGTGTCCATACTTAGGCCGTGGTTTGGCATGGCTTTTCACGGTTCCGCCCTTCTCAAAATTCCAGAGTAATACTTGGAAGCACTATAGCGTGGAGCCGCTTGAAAAATGAATCGAGAAGAGGAGAAGCGGGGTGGAGCTAATGATTTGAGCTTTCTCCATTCCCTCGCCACAAGACACCCACAAAGCATGAGTTGAGCCCCTGTAAGAGCTGTGCCAAACACGCCTTAGTCTCAATGTTTTTACATATATATTAGGTTCATGTCCTGGGTATATATGATCTTGCTCAATTGTACAATTATATTTATTCGTGTAACACATTACGGTGTTGCATCGGTATTTTCTTTCCTCGAATCTGCTTTGTAGTATTAACCATTTTGTTGATTAAATTCGTTGGTTTGTTGGCCAATGTGCTTTCACAGTTCGCTTTTTTACTACAAACATGTGCATCACTCCACAAACATGCCCAAGTCAATTGGACTCTCCCACGCCTCGACTCATGATATTCATCTTATTCTTGCACAAAAAACTAAGGTGCTCATGAGTTCACGCCATCTATTTTGGGAGACGCATGAGGAGGTCGGGTCATAATTTTCTCGCTGTTTGTTTTGTTCTTTTCTAAGTGCCCCAATTTCAGATGTTACTAACTTCTACTATACGCTTAGTCTCTTGTGTTACATACCCCTTAAAAATGGAACTTATGCCTCTATTTTTTTCGAATATGCAAAAGATTTACACATCATTGTAATTAAAAAGAAGAGCTTAACCATACAAATAACGCTACACATGACGAAAGGCCCTAGGAGGTTCTATTTCAATTGACCTAAATAGTTCGTGGATTAGTTGTTCGCTTAGAACGCAGCTTGGTGAAGTCCACTACTGCTTGTCCACGCCACAGAAGAAGAGCCGGCAAGAAAGATAACACGCCCACAAGGCGATTAAAACATATCAGAATCACGCACGACACGCTCAAACGTGATACCGGATAAACATTCAAAAGCCCTCTTCCAACAAAAGGTGCATCGATTTGCTTCATCATTGATGTGGCCAACAACATTTGATGGCTATGAGCAAATTATGGGGGTGTTTGGCATCGCCCACAAACTCGCTCCATAAACTCCACCGTGAGCAGCTCCACAAAAAACTGGAGTTTGTGGAGTATCTCTTTAGATGCTTCTCACAACTCCACCCTTTTTCCTCGAGGAGAGGCGTGGAGTCAAATCGTTTGGCTAAAAACATGGATCAAGCCGAAAAACATGGAGGGAGCACCCAAACACCCTCTAAAGGCCTCGACAGATCGGGCCTTTGCTTCTCTTTTGTTTGTTGGGCCAGACTTACTGTAAAAGTGTGGTGACATATATTAGGGCTTGTTTGGCATGGCTCCATTCTGTAACTCCAAAGAACTCCAAAGAAAAAATTCAAAGAAACACCATAGCTCCAAAACTCCATAGAGCAGCCAACTCCATGGAGCTATAGTGCAAATGGGGTGGAGTTTTGAGCACCTCATTTGTCAGCTTCCTGTAACCCTCTTTTGAACCCTCTCAGGAGTTGGTGGGGTACCACCCACCAATGCCACCGACATGTGAAAAACGGTCGATTCTATTTTTCCGAGCCTCAGGCCGTGACTCCTCCCCGTCCGGATCGATTCGCAAGGTCTTCGAGCATCTCCATCGCCCGCCTCGCTTAGCTCCCGCCCTGCTCTCGCCAACTCAGCCGCCGTGCTCCGCCGGGCGCGCAGAATCACAGTAAAGGCACGCGGGTCTCGTGCTCCGCCGGTGCGTAATCATAGAAAGGTACGCTGCGCTCAATCTCCGGGCCTGCGGTTTCGCTGCGAGCTGCAGACGCAGTTTCAAGGGAGGAGGGCAACCGCCTTGCTCTGGGGCCAGGCGATTACGCCGGGCGCTACGCCAAGACGTAGCCGGCGCGCCGCCGGCTTCAGTGGGGCTACCCCGATCAAGGCCGTTTTCCACAAAGAATCACAAGGCTGCTCGCTTCCTCCAGCTTCCGCCTGGCGGACCACGAGGTTGCCGCCAGAGTGTTTCCTCAAGGCCTGTGCCGAAGCCGCTTTCCCGCTTTTCCTTCCACAAGGCCAGCCACGAAGCTCGCTGCCGACGCTGGGCTGGCGCCTCGCGCCGATCTTAACCACCGCGACGCCATCGACCTCTCCTCATCGATCACGCAGTCGGTCAACGCTGGCCCTGGTCAGCCCGCCTTTCTAAGAACCGAGCCCACCAACCTGCCTCCCCGCTTCCCTTGGTGCCTCCACAGCTTGTCGCCGGACTTGGCCATTCCTCCCCGGCCGCCCATTCCCCTAAGAAACAACCACCACCACCCCATCCCGCTGCTACTTTGTCATTCCCCGAGGAAGAAAAGAGGAGAATAAGAGGATGACATGTGGGACCATGAGTCTGGGGCAAGAATGACACCACCTTCAAACTCCTCTTTTCTCGAGCCTGGGACATCCTCTCACCCAAACACCACAATAAAACGGGCTCCAACTTCACCTAGAGCTGGGCTCCACCTCGGAGTTCGATGGGGAGCAGCCCAACTAGAGTTGGAGCTATGCCAGCCAGGCTTTAGTATGAACCTAATGTGCTCTTTTTGAAAAAACAGTAGAGGTCATCTGGGAGGGGCAGCCCCTGCACGTCTGGCCCCCTTCTCTCCGTCCATGATTTCAATTGCATTCTTCATTCATCGGTAACTAGTACTACGTGCACTTATTTCTCGACTCTACACTACTTCAACCGAAGCCACTACCAATTTGCTAAAGTTTTTGAGACCATCATATTTCTTTTCTAGCCCCACAACATGTCTATTCAGTCCAGTAGCTAGGAGCCTAGCTACAAAGTTGCCCATTCAATTAGTTGTCTCTCGAGAAAGCGAGTAAATTGGATGCGCGGTTGCCCATTGAATTTTTGATTTTGATTTCAAATTGTGGCCAAGTGTTATATATAGTAGGGCAATAAAAGCACAGCGGAGTGACTGATTGAGATTTGGGATTTTGATTGATGATGATGATGATAGAAAAAAGAAAGAAAGAGAAGAAAAAAACCCCTCTAGTTCGTATTCTTAGTTGGGCCGAATTCATGTGGGCTGAGCCGTACCTCTACTCCACTTGTACTCTGTCCAGCCCATGGCGAGCGAAGAAGGGATTCCAAACCTGAGAAGGTTCGCGAGAGCAGGTTGCTTGCGGGGCTGCGCTGCGCGCTGCGCGCAGCGCCGCCTTTGCCCTTCCATCGCGAGTCGCGACTTGGGTTGGGACTCTCTTTCCTCTTGGCTTCTTCCTCCCCAACCTCCTCCTCTCCATCGATTCCATTCCATTCGATTCGAATTCGCGATCGCCCACCACCCGCACCAACGCAGCCTCCTACCCTACCCTAGGCAGCGCCAAACCCTAACCCTAATCCTAATCCTGTGTGCTACCAATGGCGGAGTCGGAGAAGGAGGCCGCCGCGGCCACTGCCGCCGCCGCCGAGCCTGGGTCCGGCCCGCCGCACGAGGACGAGGATGCGCTGCTCGCCCGCGCCCACACCGTCGTCTCCAGGATCCTCGACCGCGAGCTGGACCCCAACCCCCGCCTCCTCCACACCCCTCGCCACCATGTGCGAGCTCCACGAAGCCAGGTCAGTGTTGCTGTGCCTCACTCAGTCACTGTCCGCTCCTCTCCCTCCCTCCTTCATTCCTATCCCTACCAGTTTATTTATTAATTTAAATTCTGTTCTATTCCCTGTGAGCCGATTCTCTCCCTGTTAGTTAGACTGCTGCTTCCTGCTTCGCTTGGTTTCTAGCCTATACTAGGGCCTTCTAGCTATCCTATCCCTGCCTCCTGGCCGGGTTGCACCACCGCTAGTGTGCGAATGGCAGCAACCCGCTCTGCTTTGCATATGCATATTACCTGCCCAGTTCCAGGCGGAAGCTACGTCCCTATCCTTATTTGAAGTACTCTTGTCTGGCCAACTTAACCGCATTGACTGGATTAAAAGGGAACTTCATATACTAAACTGAAACGCTGACAGACGGATATCGGCTACTCTTGCCATCTTGCTCGTGAGGCTTCATGCAAATAACTAGTTCGATTTTTACCATGTGGATGCAGACTTGCAGGCTTACGAGGCAAAACTGCCATTCCCACTTTAATTCAGTTATTATGTGCAGCTAACCCAATGTTTAATGGCACAAACACAAGGAGTTGCAGACTTGCTTTGTTCGGTTGCCTCCTAACCATTTGTTTGCCTCTGCAGATATATTGAGTTATGTGCAGCTGACCCAACGTTCAATAACACAAACACAAGGAGCACATCTACAATTGGGAAGCTGGCCAATTTGTTCGGGTGTGTAAGCCTACTCTGGAGTTCTGTATGCATCAGCGTAATTTCATTTTGCCCATTAATTCTATAACTAAGCACTGTTACTTTAACCCTATCAACAGGACAATGACGAAGTTTTATGAGTTGGTGTTTTGTAAGTTCTTGTCGGACACCTCCTACTCTGTTGCCGTGACGTGTTGCCGCTTGCTAGGCTGCTCCTGAGCTGTCACTCTGCCTGGACGGTTAGCTTATCCTCTATGCATTTGTGTCGTGTACTCTTTCTGTTGTCTGCTCTCAATCTATTCCACCTGCTCCAAACTGTGCTAAGCTTTCATTCTGCCTTCCTTTTTCTTCAGCCTCCATATCCACACGCCTTTGAAGACTCTATCATAGATAATATTAAAAGTGGGTAACAGAGGATCCTGAAGCGCCTAATGAATGTGAATGGAAGTATCTAGGAAAAATAAACCCACAGATGCTGAGATGCTGAGAACATATGCGATCGGGTTGCTCGCTATGGTTGCCAGCAGGTACTGTTAGTGTCTCATTGATTTATCATCTGGTACTGAGTACTATCCTCTACTACCGAATTCATTATGATATTCATCTAATTTTTTATGTGTTTCAATTTTTTACCTCAGCGGTGGGCAATTGGTAGAGGATGTCTTGACTTTGGGTGTATCAGCAAAGCTCTGGCGCTTTTTAAGCGATAAGAGTCCTTTTTTGGGGATGCCTCATCTTCTCAGAGAGATGCTAATCATCCACAAGACACCAAGTATCCTCGAGGCAGAGATTTATAGTAGGGGTAAATCACGCCTGGCCCAAGATGGTTCTCGATTGGATGGAACAAGGTTGGGTATGGAATATTATTAACCAACCTGACAGCAGAGAAGGACAATGAGCCTGGTGTTGGAATGAGGCAAGCATATGGAGAAAGGTCATTGATGACACTGTTGCTTCATTGATAATTCTGATGCCCCCGAGGCTGATTGGACCAATGATCGATGTTATGGCACAAGTGGTTGTGACACAAAGTCAAAATATGGGGAAAAGAATTCTGTGCCGAGGCTTCTTAAAGATGAAGAGATCAGTGAAAATGGCGAACTGTTGAAAAGAAAGCTGGGTCGAGCCCCCTCCCGACTTAGAGTGAAGGGAAAAGCAGGAGACAGCTTGCCTGAGTGTGAAATGACACCTTTATCACCAACCTCTGGATTGAGAATAGGAGGTCGGTCTACTAGAGACAGGAATGTGGTGAGGGTTGATGACCCAAAGAAGGCAACTGATGTGAACAATAGATCTGCAAGCCTCGAGTCGTTTAGCGCTATTTCCAAAGAAGAATACGAAGATCGGTTCAGGGATTGCATTATTGGCTTGAAGGATATATCTGACATTGTTTTTGAAGGCAGTGAGAGCTGCTGAGGCTGAGGCCAGATCTGCAAATGCACCTGATGAAGCTGTGAAAGCAGCAGGTGATGCTGCTGCCGAGCCAGAAATCTGCTGCTTTGGAGGTATGGAAAAAAACATCTTGAACTTGCAGATAGCTTGTTAGCATCTGTTTCATACTACCTCCGCTCCAAATTATAAGTTGATAATTTGGAATTATAATTTGGAATGGAGGGAGTATTTCATTAGTGACTATGTCTTACTATTGGAGCGCTACACTTCTGCAGGTTTGGAAAAGCGAAAATAATAGTGATGCAGTTGTAGAAGCGGGCGGAGAAAGCTGCATCTGCTGTTGTTGAGGCTCATGTGTCAACTAGTGTCTCAATGTAATGGGGAGAAATGCTTACACACATGCACATTATGTTTCTCATTGTTTTCTGTCACTGATCTGTTATTTATCTGAGTGTTCACTTTGGTGTTACAGAAGTGCAAACTGTTGGTGAACAGCGTGCAGTGGAAGAAGCTGTCCAAACCAGTGAAGACCAGGATTTGGAAAATTTTGTTATCAGTGACAAAGCACAGCTCTTACAACTTAGAGAAAAATATAGCATCCAGTGTCTACAGATTTTGGGAGAGTATGTTGAAGCTTTGGGTCCTGTTCTCCATGAAAAGGTGTTGATGTTTGCCTCACGTTATTGCAAAGGAGCATGAAAGACCAGGAGGGACGTGACCACTTTGCTCAACTCCCTGATGTCCTTAAATTAATTTGTGCACTGGCTGCCCATCGAAAATTTGCTGCACTCTTTGTTGATCGTGGTGGTATTCAGAAGATCCTCTCTATTCCTAGAATTACCCCGACATATATGGGTCTTTCTGCCTGCTTATTCACTTTCGGGTCTCTTCAGGTAGACACAACAATACTTGTTCATGCAATCTTAATGCTGATCTGCTACTTTCTACCATGCTAATCTTCTGATTTGCTTGCAGTCTACCATGGAACGTGTTTGTGCACTTTCCTCTGACACACTTGACAGTGTTGTTGAATTAGCACTTCAACTTCTTGAGTGCCCACAAGATTTAGCTAGAAAAAATGTGGCCATCTTTTTCGCTGCTGCTTTTGTGTTCAAAGCTGTTCTGGATCTATTTGATGCCCGGGATGGGATGCAAAAGCTTCGATATCCTATGTGGATGCGATCTGGAAGGTCTGGCTTATAATTCTGGAGGAGCAGGATCCTCCAATGTAAATCAAGGGAGTGATCGTCCGCCTGCTGAAGTTTTAACTGCATCAGAGAAGCAAGTTGCATACCATACTTGTGTTGCTCTACGGCAATACTTTAGAGCTCATCTCCTTCAGCTTGTTGATTCCATTCGGCCAAGCAAAAGCATCCGTAGCATTGCACGGAACACTTCTAGTGCAAGAGCTGGCTACAAACCTTTTGACATTAGCAATGAAGCTATGGATGCTGTCTTTCGTCAGATCCAGCGGGACAGAAAGTTAGGCCTTGCTCTTGTGAGAGCTCGTTGGCCTGTGTTGGATAAATTTGTTGCCTCAAATGGTCACATGACTATGCTCGAGCTGTGTAAGGTAAAACACACTGCACACATGCATTGTTTGGTTATGTGGGGCTTGTTAATAACCTGATTTGATTCACAGTTTCAGGCACATGGTGATCGGTATTTGCGTGACTTAACTCAATATGCAATTGGAGTTCTTCACATCATAACACTTATGCCACAGCCACATGTCCGCAAATCAATAGTGCAGGGAACATTAAGTAACAATCGTGCTGGTATGGCTGTCTTATTAGACACGGTGAAAAGTCTCGACTATATTGATCATGAGGTACAGCTTCACTTTGAAAATATGAGTATGAATTAAATAACCTTTGCAATTCCTTTATAATTTCTGAAGTGTTATTTAAATATCAGTTCTTATTATCACTCAGTGAACTTGACAAATCTGCTTATCTTTTGAGCTATATATAAACCTACGTCATTCTGTGCCCATTTCACAAACCCACCACTGCTTGGGGTACATTCTCACAAAAGTACAACTTTGTGATCATTCTCCTTTCATGGTCAGCTGGGTCCACATGTAAGTGGCATGAGGCCAGCTGAGCCCAAGTCACATTTGATGAACTATGACTGATGTGGGCCCGATTGGTCATGAATGGTCACAAATTTGTAGTTTTGTGAGAAGACTACTCAAGTATTGGCAGGTTTGCACAAAATTTGGTAGGCCTGTGATTATTAACCCAAGATATTGGTAAGGTTGTGAAAAATCTACTTTCATTGTTTTTGTGAATCAGGTGATCTGTCCAGCACTGAATGTCCTCGTCAATCTTGTATGCCCACCTCCTTCTATCAGCAACAAACCATTGTCGACTGCCAATCAGCAACCTGCAGCTGCTCAAGCGCTTGCTTCAGAAAGCAGAGATAAGAACTTTGAAAAAAGTATTTTAGATAGGAATCTACTTGCAAATCAGGGCGAATCTCGTGAAAGATCTGGTGATGGCAACCCTGCTGAAAGGAACAATACCTTGCATCAAGGAACTAGCACACCTGTTGTGCCATCTGGAGTAGTTGGTGATCGAAGAATAACGTTAGGAGTTGGAGGTGGTGGTCCTGGTCTTGCTGCTCAATTGGAACAAGGATACCGTCAAGCTCGAGAAGTTGTAAGAGCCAATAATGGCATAAAAATTCTTTTACAGCTTCTTGGTTCTCGGATGGTTACACATCCTGTGGCTATAGATTCTATTCGAGCCCTTGCCTGCCGTGTCCTGCTTGGCCTGGCTAGAGACGATACAATTGCACATATACTGACAAAGCTCCAGGTATTGCATACTACAAAACATTAGTTATCTCACGTCCAGTGTTATAAACCACAGTGGCAACTCATGACTATTGTTAACTACGATTCCACTGCAAGCTGAGTGCTCCCTCTGTTTTTTTATAGGGCCTATTAACATTTGAAAACGTCATCTTTATCAGCTCTTACCACCAATTAGTGTAATTGCTCACATGTTTAGTGTATATAAGTTGTATTGATAGATTCATGTTTCCTGGATCTATGAACAAGATATACGTTCTCTAGCAATCTCTAATATGTTATGAGAAAATTTAGTGTTCAAAAGCATACTTTTGAAGACTTAAAAATCCTAATTCGCCCAGGCTTGTTCTTCATTGTGGCTTTGTGATAACGCAGATGGCATAATCTTATATGTCCTTGTGCCTTTTACATATAGCTCAAGATGATTAGTTTTGTCAAATAATTCTTGAATGCGCATCTTTGAAGATATTTATCCACTCATTGTTTCAGGTGGGAAGAAATTATCAGAACTGATCCGTGATACCAGTGCCCAGACGTCTGGGGGGCGATAGTGGAAGATGGCAAGCTGAGCTGACCCAAGTGGCAATTGAACTAATTATGTAAGAGCTTTCATCTTATGTGATTATAGATAATAAATTTGCAGATTCAACCCTCTAAACAGGCAAGGTTGGTTAAACGAGTACTATGATCACATGATTCTTTGGCAGGTATTGACAAATTCTGGAAAAGAAACAACATTAGCGGCAACTGATGCTGCTGCTCCAGCATTGAGGCGCATTGAGCGAGCTGGGATAGCTGCTGCTACTCCTATCTCCTACCACTCGAGGTTTGATTTCTGTATGATTGCTCTATTGCATTATCTTGCAGCTTTGAGTTCTTTCCTTTCTTTTTTTTTCTTATTTTTTTTTTTGGGTGTGTGTAGGGAACTGATGCAGTTGATACATGAACATCTCCTTGGGTCTGGTTTCACTGCCACTGCTGCCATGCTCCAGAAGGAGGCTGGCCTTGCACTTCCTTACCATTGACAGCAGCGGTGCTTCCTGCCCATCAAGTTGCTGCCCTGGAAGCATCATCTGTTCAGCAACAGTGGCCCTCTGGACGTGTTCAGGGATTTCTCTCAGATAAAATAAACATGTCGACAGATCAATCTTCCCAGAAAACAGATTCTATCCTGCCTTCATCTAAGAAAAAGGCACTGACCTTCTCATCCAGTTTCTCACGAAGAGCTCTGTCTCCGCATCCTATTTCTGGTAGCAGAGCAAGCAACATCCTTAAAAGTCCTGTACCTATTGCGGCTGATACTGGAGATGCAGAAATGTTGAATAAAATACCACTGTCGCTGCCACTTAAGAGGAAGCTTGTGGATGTGAAGGATAATAATTCTACATCGGCATCGAAGCGCCTCGCAACAACTGATCAAATGTACCAACCCTCTGCATTCCAAACTCCTGCTCCTACTCGCAAAGGTCTGTCGGTAACAGTAGATTCTCCTACTTCATTTCATTGTGGTCGGACAAACTTCAACAATGTTTCTACTGACAACTTGGACAATTCTCAAGGCACACCAGGAGCGTTGACCACTACAGCACTTCCTGGTGTGAATGATCAACAATCAGGAAATTTGGAGCGTATGACACTTGACTCACTGATTGTACAATACTTGAAACATCAACACCGCCAGTGTCCTGCTCCAGTTACAACTTTGCCACCACTTTCTCTTTTGCACCCTCATGTTTGCCCTGAGCCTAGTCGCAGCCTTAGTGCACCTGCAAACATAGCTGCTCAGATGGGAAGCCGTGAGATAAGTAGGCAATTTAGTGGGATACAGATACCTCGAGGGGATCGTCATTTTATATACAGTAGGTTCAAGCAGTGTCGTGTTTGCCGTGATGAGGCATCACTGTTGACCTGCATGACATTTCTTGGAGATGCATCTCGAGTTGCGGCTGGTAACCACATTAGGTGAATTAAGGATATTTGACTGCAACACGGCAAATCTCCTAGAGACTCAAACGTGCCACCAACATCTTGTTACAATGATGGAGTCGACATATTCTGGTGGAAATGAGCTGATTCTCACATCCAGCCTAAATGAGGTTAAGATCTGGGATGCCTTCTCTGTATCTGCAGGGCCTTTGCACACATTTGATGACTGCAAAGCTGCTAGGTTTAACCACTCCGGAACTTCATTTGCTGCCCTTTCTACTGATACAGCTCAACGGGAGGTTCAGTTGTATGATGTACAGACATATACTCTTGCTACGCGGCTTCCTGATAACACTAGCAGTTCAGGTTCAGGCCGGGGTTACATCCAACCTATTATACATTTCAGTCCTTCAGACACAATGTTGCTTTGGAATGGAGTCCTGTGGGATACAAGGCAACCAAATCCTGTTCATCAGTTTGACCAGTTCACAGATTACTGTGGTGGTGGATTCCATCCAGCAGGAAATGAGGTGTGTTTTTTTCCTTGAACCATACTAATTAATCTCGTCTACTTGTATGTTTTGAACCGTAGTGTCTTTCTATCCGTCTCATAGCATGTTATTGTGTGTTTACGGCATTCTAAGCTTCACATATCACTTCTCTCTCATGACTATGTTAGTAGGATTGTTCGATGTGCTTCCCTTCTTCGAAGACCTGTTGAGTTTAGCAGCATATCCAGCTAATGTCATTGTATCTCAACCTTGTCCCATTTTTTATTCAGTAACAGAGTTTTTTGATTCAACATAATCTTATCTTTCGAGCCCAAACAAAGTATCTCAGTAAACAATGTACAGATAACTTTTTTGAGTAGAATGAGGAGTGCATGGAGTAGCAAAACAACAAGAGCCTTACAAATCATCAGCATTGATTAATTGGCATTAAAAAAAATCTGTGGGCTATTGAAAATAATAGTGCATTTGTCACCTATTTTCTTAAGTGCGGTGGAAATTTATCTTAGTACTGGGTATTGATGATGATGAACAATGGTCTGAAAGGTTAATTTATCCACTGTGGCTTTGCTACCAATATATTTGTTTCGCATGCCATTATTTTAAGAGGAACTTGTTGGAGTGTGTTCGTCTCCTTATCTGTCATTGAATATTGTACAGGCGATCTTAAATTCGGAGGTGTGGGATCTGAGGAAGTTTAAGCTTTTGAGGAGTGTCCCTTCCCTGGACCAGACAGTAATAAAGTTTAATGGAACTGGTGATGTTATCTATGCCATCCTGAGGCGTAATCTTGAGGACGTGACAGCATCCATCAATGCTCGTAGGGTCAGGCAACCTCTTTTCCCTGCATTCCGCACAATTGATGCGGTGACTTACTCAGATATTGCAACCGTCCAAATCGACCGCTGTGTACTCGATCTTGCCACTGAGCCCAATGATTCTCTTATTGGGGTGGTTGCTATGGACGATCACCAGGAGCTTTTCTCTTCTGCTCGCTTGTTCGAAGTTGGCAGGAAGCGGATAACTGATGATGATTCAGATCCAGAGGACGCAGGTGATTCCGATGATGAGGATGATGATGACAATGATGACTCCGACGATGATGTTCTCCTTGCGCCAGTGCTGGAAGGGGATACAGATTCTGAAGAGTTAAGCAGCAGCAGCGATGATGGTGATGAAGATGGTGGCGACGATATCCCCAGTTCGGATGACATTGAAGATGACCCAGAGTTCATTGATGATGGCGGCGACTTTGAAGGGGGAGGGGGCTTGATGGATAATTTGGGTGACGACGAAGGGGAGGACGACGAGAGTGATATGATGGAATCCTTTAGCAGTGGCGACGAGGAGGGTTGGATCATGTAGGTTTTGTGCTGCTGCCCTGCTGAAGAACATGGAGCATGGCCCTGTACAATTCAATATTTATACGCTCACATTTCCTTGTCCTCTAGCTCTAGGGGTAGCACAGCTCCTGCTAGGGAATGTGGAACATAATGAAGTGTTGAGGCGTTAGATGATGTAAGTAAAGATGGGAAAGCTCGTGAGTTTTGCTTATCGATCGATCGATTAAAATTTATTTATTTATTTATGGTCTGGGCTTGCTTTGCTCTGCTGACTTTGGTTGTGGTGCTCAGTTTTGACTGTCGTTGATGAAGTTGCAAGCATCAGGACCGACTATATATATTATTTGTGCAAGTATCAGACTTTTGTCTACGCACGGTCGAGGCTAAATGCTGATACCTGTTTTCTGAAGATTCGAGGTGCCAGTTTCTTGTGTTTTCTTATGATGAGAAAGAATCGAATCAAATAGTCCTATCACTGAATATGTGCCTTTCATGCATACCATGTGCATTATTGTGTCGTTGACTGGCATGTTGGTATATATATAGATGAAAAATGCAGGGACTGAAAAATGCATCTGAACTGAAAACAGGGGAGCGTTGCGGGTTACAGGCGCGCATTTAACAGCATGCACAACACAAAACTGACTGCTAACTTTAAGCTGTGGTGGCTTCTTGGGAATTGCCAAGAGAGAGAGACATAAGAGAGAGAGGTGTCATGTCAGATTTGGAGCCTGCTCATGTCGAACTCCCCGCTGGCGTGCACCTGCCGCACCGTCCTGTCGTAGTCGTCTTCTTCCTCCTGCTGCTCCTCTTGCTCGGGCTCTGCTTCCTCCTCGTACTGGTCGTTGTCGTCGTCGTCCGAGGCGGCGTCCCAGCCGTAGCCGAAGACGGGCCTCGCCGGCTTGGGCACCGTCTGTGCCTCCTGTACGATCCTCATGATCTCCTCCACGCTCTGCGACGAGTAGGCTGCTGCGGCTGCCACGGCATTGGCATTACCATTGCTGCTGCTGCTGGCGCCGGCGCCGGCGTCTCCCACTCCCCGTCGGTTGTAGTAGGCTGCCTGAGCCTCCTCCTTGAGCTCCCTTGGCAGGTTCTTGAGGTACCAGGGGTGGCTCTTGATCTCGCTCATGGTGATCCTCTTGTACGGGTTCTGGACGAAGATGCGGGAGAGGAGGTGGCGGCAGTTCTGGGAGACGTGCACGTACTCGGGGATCTTGTACTGCACAGACATGATCCGCTGCGAATTGCGTGCGATGCAGGAGGAGATGTCAGCTTCCATTTGCACAGCACAGACCACAGAGTAATAACCAAGAGACCAAAAAACAAAAGAGTAAGCAGATTACCGACCGAGATCGTCTTTCTGAAGTTCTTGGGATCCTTGGGATCCTCGAACGGGTAGGCTCCGACGAGCATGACGTAGAGCGTGACGCCGCAGGACCACACATCGGCGTGCTTGCCGTCGTACTCGCGCCGCGACAGCACCTCGGGCGCGATGTACGCCGGCGTGCCCACCGTTGACTTTGGCCTCGAGTGCAGCACCGAGGACTTGGAGTAGCCGAAGTCGCAGATCTTGAGGCGCGGGGCCGGGCTGCCGTCCAGCAGCGTGTTCTCCAGCTTGAGGTCCCGGTGGCAGATGTTCATGGCGTGGCAGAAGCTCACGCCGCACACCAGCTGCTGGAAGAAGTACCGTGCCTCGTCCTCGTGGAACCTCCCCGCCTCGCAGATGCGCTCGAACAGCTCCCCGCCCGCCGCGTACTCCATCACGATCGCCAGGTGCGTCGGGGTGAGCACCACCTCCTTGAACCGGATGATGTTGGGGTGGCGCAGGGAGCGGTGGTTCACGATCTCGCGGAACACGTTCTCGTCGATCTGCGTTTTGTTTTGTTTGTTTCAGTTTCAGGCATAGAATCCGTAGATAGGAAAAGGAAGAAGAAGAGCAAGCATAAACGACGACGACAGCAGCAGAGCAGAGAGCAGAGAGAAGAGAGAAGAGAATCAGCAGCAGCAGCACCAAGGCGAGAGGCGACTCACCCTGTTTCCTCGCTCTATGAACTTCATGGCGACGAGCTCCCTGGTTTCCTTGTTCCTCATGAGCTTGGCCACCCCGAAGTTGCCCGCACCGATCTCACGAACGGGCTCGTACTTGTCCATCGGATTGGATCGGATCCCTGCTTTGAGCTGCTGCTGCTGCTGCTGTTTCTCCTCCTGCTTTTGGCTTGGCGATATGATAATCACTACTAAATCTGACAAGCAATATAATTCTCCTCTCTCTCTCTTGCCGACGATGGATTCGCCTGTGCAGTAACGCACCTCAACCACAGCCTTATCAGGTCAGGTGCTGCAGATTGCAGCTCCTTTGGATTGGAGGTAGCAACAGGGAGGGATGCTGGGAGGAAGAAGACGACGAGGAGGCCGGGCGGGCGGAGATAAACAGAGACAGAGAGACGACAGGGAGGGGAGGGGGAGGGGAGGGGGATGTGGGTGGTGGGGTGGCCTTGTGGCCTGTTTGTGGAGCTGAGTCGGTCGGAAGACGGACGGAGCAGGTGCCGCTGCCGCCCTTTCTTTTCTTGTGTTAGGTCTCCCGCTCCCTCTCCCTCTCCCTCTCCCTCTCCATCCCATTTGCTTTGTTTCTTTCTTTCTTTTTCTCTGTAACTATGCAGGCTGCAGGCTGCAGCTGGATCGGATGGGATCGACTTGTATTCTTCTTCTAGTCGTAATTTACGATGACGATGAGGGTGCATGAGTGCATCCATCCATCATGCAGAGCAGAGCAGAGCAATGCATACACCAACCGAAAGGGACCTCACCTCATCTCTTGAACCGAAAAGGATTGCCTGTTCGCTTGAACTTATCAGCCGGCTTATCAGTTATAATCTACAGTATTTTTCTCTCACAGCAAAATAGCTTCAGTCGACTTATCAGCCGATTTTAATAACAGACGAACAGGATAAAAGAGAAGAGGAATGGTTATGACATGATGGCAGCCCTGCCCTTGCACAGCTGCCTCATCAGCCCACCAGCAGCAGCAATTGAGAAGGCGACCATCGCTTTCAGTACATACACAGACTGCTTACCTGCTCCCTAGATTAGATTAGATTCATTCACCACAAAGAGCACAGGATTCTGCATTTAATAGACACCTGAATATACACGGCATATGCATGGCAGTACTAGTACTGATGTACATCCATATTGAAGCAAGTTGCAGTTGGTATATATATACTCCGTATAACTATATACCATAATACCACCACTACCGTAGAATAGAATATGCAACTAACTGTGGAGTGGAGCGTCACTTTCTCAATGGTTTGAAGAACAAAGATCACCATCTATCTAGTCTCAGGCTCTCAGTTGTGGCCGGACGGCCGGACCGGAGAGGAGACTGACTGAGTACAATGGCCAATGCCAATGGTCACCAGTCACTGTCTGGGCTGAGGTGGTGGTTTTTTCCCCTTAACATCTTAACTTCCGGTACTGTTGGCTAGAGTAGGGAAACAACACAAGCTACAAGAAAGGTAAACAAATTTCTTCTAACATCTACATAATATACACAGTACGTAGACTAGTTGCCAGCAACATATAGAAAGTCGCCCAAAGACTATTCGTAGGATATAAGACTAGTTGCCAGCAGGCAGCAGCAGCAGTTGCAGTGGGCAGTGGCAATGCAAATAACGCCGTGTTTAGTTTCAGTAAGTTGGAATTTTAGGCTACTGTAGCACTTTCGTTTTTATTTGGTAATTAGTATTCAAACATGGACTAATTAGGCTCAAAACGTTCGTCTCGTAATTTCCCACCAAACTGTGCAATTAGTTTTTTTTTTATCTACATTTAATGCTCCATACATAGGCCGTAAACATTCGATGTGATGGCTATCGTAGCATTTTTTGGGATTTTGGGTTGGAACTCATCATGGGCTAAGGTTCTCGCTTCGTTAGACTTTTAGTAGTAGTATATGTATTATTAAGCTGCAGCTGCTATATATAAAAGCAGGAGGACAAGATCGACTGAGCAGGCAGATTGGGTAGCCTTTTGCAGCGTCGGCTAGCTAGCTCACGCCTCATTTTTAATTCCGGTTTCAATTCATGCTTGCATCCAGAGCCACTCGCTTGCTCATAAACGATCGTAAATTTTCAGCCGAGAACAGTATTTTTCTCTCACACCAAATCAACCAGCAATAAATAATCCACGATATAATACGGCCTCTCGAACAGGCTGCAGGTCATTCCTCCATCCCTCTCTTTTGTGTGTGTCTCTCTCTATGTATATATATGGAGATGGAGTGGAGATGCAGACCCTGCAGAGGTGCTTCCACATGCGCGCACCAACGACGAATCCGACAACCAAGACTGAGGGCGCAACGACTGCATGGATGGATGGATCGCCTGCGCCCTACCTCCCTGCTTGCCTTGCCTGGTCAGGATCAGGATCCATGCATCTTCTGTTTCATTTGTGGTGGAACCTTGCCATTGCCAAGCGGATGGTGCCCTTATATTTTCTAAGATTTGTCCTAAAAAGAAACGATAATATTAACATTCTTAGGGCTGGTTTAACAACACTTCAATCTAGCCCAATACAAATGGATCGGATGGATTAAAGTGTACTCAAACAAGGCCTTAGGTGGCCGCTGATATATCCGTCCATGCAATGATAGAACCGGTCTCAAGACCCGTCCCCACAAGTTAAACCTCGAATGGATTAGCGCCAGGTGTGCTGGAAGACCGACCTAGCCAGTTTTGAAGACTTTCTTAAATCAATAATTTGACTTTACTATTGTGTAGCCCTCGCGGAGACGATAGAAATGCAGATGTAGGATGCCGAATTTGGAGACCAGATGAGAGAATTCCAGGCCAATTTCCTAAACCGGCCACGCCACCTTTGAGCTTTGACAGGTAGATCTGAGTTAGGAGTTGTATTTTGACACGGGATTTGTAAAACTTTTGACTTCTAATGGAGCACAAGACCTTCCCACCTACACATGAAGGGCCACCAACGATTCAGTATCCAATCGATCAAAACATGATACGACTTAACTTTTCTACCATTTCCAAACATATTATTTATTGTTCTACAAACTCCTCAGGTCGATGATGTTTATGGGCGGTTTAGGTGGCCTTCCAACTCTAGAACAACCCTTGGTGCGACTTCCCGATGAGCTCCTTCCTGGGAGGGTTCTTAGTTTTTTTTTCCCCACAGGTCTAACTGGTTTTCTTGGGTTTGCTGCGAGTCAATCATCGCGCGATTCAAGCGACCTACCTCTTTTAGTGTGGGACCAGATTAGTGCCAAGACACTTTTTGGCGACTGCGTTGGGGATGGGTAAATCGGCCACTATGGACGGTAAGATACATGTCTCTTTAATTTCGAGATTGGTCCCAAAAGCATCGTAAGGACGACTTTTTTTAGAGATGCTATCGGGCGAGGATCATATGGCCTTTGAAGATATCAAGAAGATCATCCAAGAAGAGGCAGGCCAACAATGGCAAAAGCATGGATATGTAAGAGGTTATTTTAATATGTCAAATGTGGCAATAAGTAGAGGGCGCAAAGGGTTGACCTTCAATCAACTTTAGCTCCTTGATTAGTTCTAAGTTTGCGTAGTAGACGATCAAGGAGAAGGAAATTGTAGGATCCGATTCCATGGCAAGAAGGTGAGGATATAGACATCAGACGATGCACGACTAATGCTAGTACTTGAAATCAACAAACAAGCTAGCGGCGCGGAAGCCCCTGGCGGGCGGGATGACGGCGCGCTCGAGGCCGGTGGCCGAAGCGTCCGCGGTCGCCGAGCGCGCCGATGGCCCCGAGCAGGGTGAAGAGGATGAAGAAGAGGAGGAGCGGCGCGGCCTCGGTGATGGGGATCCCGGTCTCGAGGTTGAGCTGCGCCAGGATGCCCTTCCCGGTGACGGCCTCGCCCAGGAGGGAGGCGGCCGACGAAGAGCTCGTTCTCCTTGGTGAAGCCGATGCCGCCGGACGTGCCGAAGATGCCGTCCGTGCCTCCACGCACGCGCGGCTTCTGCTGCTTGTTGGTTGGGCTCTTGAACACCGCCACGATGGTGGTGGTCCTCTGCTGCCGCTTCCGGATGCCGGCGAAGCAGGGAGAGGGAGTGCGTTGGTGTCCTGCTCCTGCTGAACGCCGGCTGAACACTGGCACTGCCATGGGTTGCTGCAGAGCCATTGCAACACGTACTGTACAATACAAACCCACCCAGCCCGGGCTGCAAGGAATTCAAAATACTAGTAATAAATAGTTAAGAAGCGAAGGATGACAGACATAATAAGCCAACTTAGTTAATGATGACAAAGAACAATCAGCTCGAGACCCATGGGCTACCTCATGGCCTGTTATTTTCGCCACGGCCCGACACCTATTGTGCCTGTGTCAGCCCAGTGTGCTTGGACAACTCTCTCGGCACAACGTCGTCTTCCTCCTCCGATCCCCTCTTGTCGTGGTTGCGTCCCCATCCTCTTGTACGTGTGTACATGCATGTACATGAACTATGAATTCGGAGCATACATTTATAGATCTTGACCTAAAATTTATGCCTTTTTTCTTTGTTGAGTTAGTCGGCCTACATAGCACGGCTACTGTAGAGTAGTTCAAGCTTGGGTCCTTGCCTAGGCTAGTGGGTTGGCACATCAGAGCGTGTCGGCCTGACCTGATGTGTGTTGCGTGCCTTATCAGATCCATGCCATGTTGGATCGGTTTGCTTCTTTGGCCGTCTATATATAAAGGAATGGGAGGGGAGCGTGAGAGACACGTAGGAAGGCTTATTTCTACAACAAATCTAGCTACCAGGGGCATGCATGGAGTACTTAATAGTATTATACCCAAATGGATGATGGACCCTGCATCCTAAAATACAAAGGCTAGAAATTCAAATCTTTGTACCAAAATACAAGATATCCTGGATCCTTAACCTTCTCTCTCCTTTTTTTTTTTGGCCAGGATGTATTGAGATTCTTTTTAAACTTATTAGCTTCATCCAAAACAATCCGTTAGTAAATAAGGAAAATAACAACTGAACTACTCCCCTCTATTCTAATTAATGAGGGGCAAAGTGGTCTTTGTTAATCTTCTTATTCTTTTATCTAAATATCGTTAGGATACTTTATATTTCAGGGTAGTATACCGGTTTACAACTACCAAGCTTCTGTATTTCCGTGAACAAAGTACCACCTATCCTGCTCAAAGAGTCGTTTATATATGTATATATATAAATTTTGCGTAGAAAAAAAATAACGAATGGGTTCCATGGTGTAGTGGTTAGCACTCCAGACTTTGAATCTGGCGACCTGGGTTCGAATCCCGGTGGGACCTTTATCTGTTTTATTTTGTTTCTCTGTTTTATTTCCCATCTTCTTCCCCTTCGTTAGTGTTATCTTTCTTTCTTTTTGATAGAAATAAAAATGAAAAACACCTACTCCATGTAGACACGGTCAGCCAAAGCGGCTAAATATACACGGTATATACGATCCGTGGTTGAACGACTGAAGCACTTCCCTACCAAGGCACGGTGTTGCAACTGCTCCAGTTTTCAGCAGGGGCAGGGGGCAGGCCAGGCACCAGCCATGAGCATTATTGAGCTCGCTGGAGTCCCGTACTCCCGTGCACGGGCCGTGTGCGTGTGTACTACAACATCGCGCTCCCTCTTGCCCAATAGCTACCTTTACACTCCTTTCATGCATGGATCAAGGTTGCACCATCAATTAATTTCGCCAAATCACATGCTAGAGAGCGATTTCGATGTTGGTACCCACAAATTGATCCGGTAGGATTAGACGATTAGTACATCTTGGAGCACAACGTACAGATGCATGGATCAAGACAAGAGAACATTTAATTTGTTCAACAAACATTTTCTAGTGTGAACTTTATGGAACATTTAATTTAATTTGTTCGACAGACATGCGCGCATATTAGTTAGATTAAAGGAAAAAATCCGTTTTTGACCCTCCAACTATGGCAACAATTTGGTTTTAACCCTCCAACTCTAAAACCAGACACCCGCGGTCCCTTAACTCTCAAAACCGTTTAAAATTGGCCCTCGCGCCCATTCGGCCGCGGTTTTGGCCCAGTCAACCCGCCGCGACCGCGGTTTTGGCCCGGTCCTCTTCCCTTCGCGACTATTGCGCGGTCAACGAGCGAGAGCAGAGAGGGAAGGAGAGAGAGAGAGAGAGCGCGCGCGCAGGGCAGAGCGGAGGGGGCAGCGGGCACTGGGGCGCCGGCGGCGGTCCTGGGGCCTCGGCGGAGCAGGCTCCGCCATGAGCTGGGCGGCAACGGCGCTCGGCATGGAGTCGGGTGAGCGGCCTCCTGCGGTGCTCGTCCTCGCCCGCCTCGGCGTCGCAGAACCGGCCACGGCGGCCAGCACAGGCAGCGCTAGCCATGGCTGTTGCTGCTACTCGCGCCATGGCTGCTGCTCCTGCTGCTCACGCCATGGCTCGCTGCTCGCCCGCGCGGGCCCCGCGTCCTGCTCGCCGCTCGCCTGCGCCGCCGCGGTGCCCTGCTCGCTGCTCGCCCGCGCGGCGCCGACACCCCGCTCGCCACTCGCCTGCGCCGCCGCGGTGCCCTGCTCGCTGCTCGCCCGCGCGGCCACGTCCTGGGCTGGAGCTTCGCCATGGAAGGCGCAGTGGCCGCATGCGGATTTGCACAGCTTGGCTGTAGCGGAGGCGGCCTTGGCATCGGCGGCGAGCCGGCGAGCGCGAACAGCGTGCGGAGACCGGACGTACGCCGATGCGGGAGGCGAGCGCGCAGGTGGCTTCGAGCGAGGACTCGAACTCGAACTCCGTGTCCAGCTCCAGCGCCGGGTCCACGGGTGGAGGCGGCAGCGGCGGGGCGAGCGCGGGCGCGGAGTGGTTCCTGAGCGCCCGGATGGCGTGCGCACGCGCGTGGCCGGCAGGGGAGGAGGAGGAAGCGCGGTGTGCGACGACGGTGTGCTTGGGCGCGGCGGGCGCGAACTGCAGCGACGGGTGCGCGAGGTCGGTGGAGCCGAATGAGGTGGCGAGCAGACGGTTGCCGGCGCTCAACCCGATCACCGACCGAAACTCCGAAAGTGATAGCGCCTCCGCCGCCTCCTCTGCTCCCTCTTCTTCCTCCTCCTCTCCTCTGCTCTCTGCTCTGCCGCCGTCGCCGCGCCCTGCTCCACCGCCGTCCAGGCGCTCCAGCGGCCGCTCAGGGGCCCCGGCTGGTGCTGCAGCAACACCGACGGCAACGGCTTCTTCGGCGACGCCTTATTCGACCCGGACGTCTGGGTGGACGGCCTCACCAAGATGGCCACCATGTTCGCCGCCGTCCCCAACGTCGTCGGCATGAGCCTTCGGAACGAGCTCAGGGGGGCCAGGCAGAACGCGAACGACTGGTACAAGTAAGCACTCAAAGCTGTTCATACCACATGTTTTTCTCTGACTCTGAGGATGCAAATACGATCAGTGCAAGTAGAACACTGGATAATCCTGGTTTTACTGTACTAGCTCCTCTGTCATGGGTGTTAATACCTGTAAATGAACGACCTGGCCTTCCTCAACTCGCGGCCGGTGAACCTCAGCTTCACCGGGAATGTGGCGTTCGAGGTGCACTGGTACAGCTTCTCCAACAGCCCCGAGTGGAGCTCGGGCAACACCAACCAGGCGTGCGCGCGCATCACGGCTGGCATCACCCACTGCGCCTTCTACCTGCTCGACAAAGGCTGGCCCGTCATCCTCAGCGAGTTCGGCGTCGACAACCGCGGCGTCAACACCAACGACAACCGCTACTACGGCTGCGCCGCCGCCGCCGCGGCCGACCTGGACCTGGACTGGGCGCTCTAGGCGCTGCAGGGGAGCTACTACCTCCACGAGGGCGTGCTGGGGCTGGACGAGGTCTACGGCGTCCTCGACTGGGCCTGGTGCAGGCCGCGCAACGCCACCGTGCTGCGTAGGGTCCAGGCGCTCAGGCGGAGGCGGCGCCGTACACCGTGCTGTTCCACCCGGTGTCCGGGATGTGCGTGGTGGTGCGCCGCCGGTTGCCGACGCTGACGCAGCCCCTTGAGCTGGGCCTGGGCCCCTGCAACGAGACGGAGGCGTGGGAGTACAGCGCGCAGCAGCAGCGGCTGGCGCTGCGGGGCACCGCGCTGCTGTGCCTCCGCACCGAGGGCGCCGGTAGGCCCGTGACCCTCGGCGTGAGCTGCGGCGACGCGATGGCGAAGTGGAGCCTCGTGTCTGACTCCAAGCTGCACGTCGCCGTCAACGCGACGTCGTTGGCCGGGAGCGACGGCATGCTCTGCCTGGACGTGGGCGCGGACGGCCGGAGCGTGGTGACCAACCCGTGCCGGTGCCTGAGATTGGACAACAGCTGCGACCCGCAGGGGCAGTGGTTCAAGCTCGTGAGCAGCACCAGGAGCGTGGCCACCAAGCAGACCATGCTCGCGCAGCTGCCGCCCCTGCTCTGTTTCCCCGCTCCGCTCTCGCTCTCTCACACGTTGAACTCGCTGAGGAGAGGGAGGGGGATGACAGGTGGTCCCAACCTGACGGTGAGAGGGAAAGGCCTGACAGGCGGGGTTGTGGCGGGTTGACTGGGCCGAAACCGCTGTTGAATGGGCGCGAGGGCCAATTTTAAACGGTTTTGAGAGTTAAGGGACTGCGGGTGTCTTGTTTTTGAGTTGGAGGGCTAAAACCAAATTGATGCCATAGATGGAGGGCCAAAAACGGACTTTTTCCTAGATTAAATCAATGCTTAAAGTTTCACTGAAATTTCTTAAAAATCAACTAAATTTTAACAAAAATGTGTATTGTCGGTCAACTAACAAAGGAAATATCATATTTTTGCTCCGCCTACTAAGGTTTGGGGTACATGTCCTATTCCCATCAAATGTGAGACGCTAGGTATACTCCTCGTAAGGTTCAACTAGAAATTTTTGTACTCCCTCAGTCCTAGCAAGGATATATAATTCTAGGCCTCGTTCAAGTCAAGAACTACTTTCATTTTAATTAAATTTATAACTTTAAATAGATGTAACATGAAAATATATTCCATTTTTAATATAACAATTCACGTTTAGTATGTTAACTATTAGTATCTTTTATAGAAATTTGATCAAACTTAGGAATATTTGAATGAACACTATTATAGAATTGCATCGTTTCTATGAGGAAGGTAGTTCCTAGAAAATAGATGTAATGTGCAAGATACAATCGATAGACATGTACTATATAATACTTCCCTCTTTCCAAATTGTAAGACGTTTTGGCTTTTCTAGATACATTGCGTTTAATATGTATCTAGACATAGTGTATATCTAAGTCCCTAGCAAAAGTTATGTATTTAAAAAAAGTCAAAATGTTTTACAATTTGGAATGGGGGGAGTAAGTGTGATACTCTCACCAACATATAACTATATAAAGCCGTATAGAAATAGATTAGACACACATGACATATCTCCACATCTTCATTACAACATTTTATTACAACTTTATAACAATTAACTCAAGCATGATTAAAAGGTTCTAATTATGATCAAAATGCTCCATGGCACAACCACATATACTTACATCTCACGTTTCCTTTCTAGTGAACAAGCTAGTGCATGTTAGCACCCACAAGGCTCACCAAAGAGCACTAACCACGAGACCTCTCAATAAGTTATCAATACCCTCCAACACATTCTCTTATTCAGAGTGAACGCTTGTGCAATGAGGACAACATTCATAGCTTTTAACTACAAAATCATCTTGGTGCGTCACCTTTTGTAATCTGCACCATCAAATCTAGTATGTCGTTTCAACGTAGAAGCAAAACTAGTAACATAAAAGTTTCTTATTGTTTTTTATTGTTAATTTTTTAAACAGATTCTACAATAAATACACAAGGTAAATCATGCCATAGCTCATAACACAATGCAGTGTAACTAGTACACAACAGAGGGAACACTAATCATACCCATTATCAAATGTAAATGATATAATATATATAATAGATGTAAACGGTACACAAAAGATGCATCAAATTACTTGGTGGAGTTATGTGACATGTGTCTATGAAAGTATCGAGATTTCGGTGATCTTGGATTCTACAGAAAACTTATTTAGAGGTCTATCCATCCCAACTAAAAACAAGCTTCAAGACCACCATTTGCAAGTGTTTCTCTCTTTGGTTTAGTTGGTTTGAGCACCGAGACTTGTCAACACACTCAACGTTTCATCCCTCTTAATAGTATGACAAAATATACTCAAGATCAAAGACAACTATTTTAACCTCTTGAGTTTGCATGACTCTACAGATGTCATTTCTTCACAATATGTCTTCACAATGTTTTGCTATTCATTTTCTTGCAATAGTCTTGGGTAACAACTTGGTTTCTTTCTCCATGCTAATGTGCTTTTAGTCATATGTCTTATTTTTGCAATTAAGGACTATATACATTAGTGTGCTCGTGACTAAGGACATGTTTAGTGTGATGGCCCTAACGATTGATCTTATTGTCATTCTTTTAGTTCTAGGGTTTGAGTTGTGCAAGGGGTGAGTAGAATTGCATAGGCTAAGGCGTGTTGCTTCAATTTTTTTTAGAGCCTAGTTCACGCACTCTCTTGAGCCATTTATCAAATGTAAATGGTACACTAGATGTATCTGGTGCACCAAGGCATGTATCAAAGGACTTTGTGGGCGTACGTGGTTCACATAAGAGAAAGAAATGACATAGGCGTCCGAAGAGAGATGGGGAGATAATAGTAAGTAGTAATGCTAGATTGGTGGGATAGATTACCATGTCACGTCCGCGCCGAGCTCCATGGCTCGTACTTGTGCTAATACTAGTTGATATACAAGAAGGTTTTGAATACATAAACCTAAAGTGGTATGTGGCAATGGTTGTAGCTATATTCCAAGACACCTTGGGTTATAATTTACAATGGGTCGCTCTTAGCTAGCAAATATCATGACCATGTGACAGCTAGGATGCAACGGGCGGTGACACCTTTAGTCGATATAAGGCACTATGACAATTTTTTTATGAAACAGGAGGGGTTTGACCCCCTACTGGAATTTTATTAAAAATAGAGAACAAAGTTTGGCGCTATGACAATTCAAAAAGAATATGATTTGGAGACCATTTGAAGATGTATTCTTGATAGATTTGCTAGTACAAACAAGGTGTGCCTACCAATCTTTTTGTTCGTGTTCCCACATAGTACTCTCCCCATTTGAAAATAGTATAAAACAAAATTTGACTCATCACAATCTTTGAAATTGAACTTTGCCCTACAAAACCATCATAGTATAAGATAGTACTTTTAAATATGGATACTTTTTTATGTAATTTTGTATACCAAGGTCGACATCTTGTAAGGCTATCTGTAAGTGTTTATATGACTTTCAAATCTGGAAATGCATGTGCGTCTTGTACTTGCCTTCGTTTTTATTTATTTGACACTAATATAATTTACCATAGCGTTTTTTTACCGTTTGTTTCTCTACTTGTCTACTTTTCATAGCTAAAAAAAATGCAAGGTTATTAATGTATGTTTGGCCACAAATTATATGATACAAGAAAACATTTGTTCAAAATTATTTGAAAAGGTAAAAAAAATTTGGTCAAAGTAAATGGAAACAGAGGCATTAAGAAAATACAAGAATGGAGTAAGTTTCAAGCAATATATATATACTACAAATGCCCCGCGCATATATTTGCTTGCTTGTTACAAACAATGGACATAGTACAGAGAAGAAAAGAAATGGAGAGGAGGATATATATTGTACGTATGTTTGTTTGTTATATATTTATTTATAGTTGGTCGGGCTAGAGTTTGTCGTCAGGGTTTAGCAGCAGAAGAAAGACGAGAGCAGTCAAAATAAGTAAGATGTACTGCTGGATTAGTACAAACAACAAACAAACCACCTCCTTCCTATTCGCTTGTATGTAAGAGAAAAAACATGGGCCAAAAATCTACTAATCCAAAATGAAAATTGAAGGCGGAAAGAGAGGGAAAAAAGAGGGCAGGCGTGTCTGTTTCTCTTCCGGCGGCCTCCCTCAATTCCTCGTCTCACCATCCATCCAGCCCAGCCCCAGCCTGTCTATATAATATATATCCATCTCTTGCACTGCCTTCCCTCTCTCCGAATCTCCTCCTCCTCCTCCTCCCTCCGCTTCGCCAAACCCTAGTAGTACTCGATCAGAAGACAATGGCGCCGCAGCCACCGCTTCCTCCCGCCAACGGCGACGGCGACAGCATCGTCGACCGCGACGTCTGGCTCGCCTGCGCTGTCCCGCTCTCCCGCCTCCCCACCGTCGGCGCCGAGGTCTACTACTTCCCGCACGGCCACGCCGAGCAGTGCCCCGCGCACCTCCCGGCGCCGCTCCCCGCGCCGCACCTCTTCCCATGCACCGTCACCCACGTCACCCTAGGCGCGGACGACAAGACCAACGAGGTGTTCGCCAAAATCTCCCTCAGCCCAGGCCCCCACCGCGGCGCTTCTCGTCCCGACCCCCCCACCAGCACCACCGCCAGCGACAACAGCCCGCCGCAGGAGATCATGCTCAGCTACTTCACCAAGGAGCTCACGCAGAGCGACGCCAACAACGGCGGCGGCTTCTCCGTCCCGCGCTACTGCGCCGACCACATCTTCCCCGCGCTCGACTTCGACGCCGACCCGCCCGTGCAGAACCTCGTCATGCGCGACACCAGGGGCAACCCCTGGCAGTTTCGCCACATCTACCGCGGCACGCCGCGACGACACCTGCTCACCACCGGATGGAGCAGGTTCGTCAACGCCAAGCTGCTCGTCGCGGGGGACATCGTCGTCTTCATGCGCCGCGCCAACGGCGACCTCATCGTCGGCCTGCGCCGCACGCCAAGGTACGCGCTCGTCTTCCCAGGGGCCGCCGACCCGGACCATCAGCCCCCGCCCCAGCCCCGCAACGCGCGCGCGCGGGTGCCGCCCCAGGACGTCATGGAGGCCGCGCGCCTCGCCGCCGAAGGCAGGCCCTTCACCGTCACCTACTTCCCGAGACAGGCCGCCGGGGAGTTCGTCGTCCCGCGCACCGAGGTGGAGGGCGCGCTCGCCACCCGCTGGGAGCCAGGCACGCAGGTGCGCATGCAGGTCATGGAGGCCGAGGACACGCGCCGCACCGTGTGGGCCGACGGCCACGTCAAGGCGCTCCACCAAAACATCTGGCGAGCGCTCGAGGTCTGAATTCGCGTCTCGTCTCTCTCGTCTTCCTTCTATAGTTCCAATTGCCATTGACCTGATGACCTGCGTGTGTTGTGTTCACCGGAATCACCGACCGCCTACTGCCATTATGCTAATGATGCGATTCACCTTCCCCCACCACCTTGTTGTTGTTGGTACGCTTCCCTTAATTAATTACTTATTAGTATTATTAAGTACTAGTACAAAGCTAGTATCATTAGAACAATCTTGACCTGTAGTAGCTTTCAAGCCAGTCGCTCGTGCTAAACAGATTTTGTTGTTTTCGATCAGTGTCGTCGAGTCGTCTTTCTATATTGCGATTGCGATTGGGATTCCGATTGCGTTGTGGGGCTGCCGGTGGTTCTTCTGTCGGATTGGATACCTTCACACGTCTGTTTCTGTTTCTGTTTCTGTTTCCACTCTGCAGTCAATAGCCGTAGCCTGTAGGGCTGCCTTTCTCTGTCTGCTTCATTTCATTCAGCCTGTCCATACTAGTATCTTCCTGCTACTACAGCCAAGTAGAAGTAGTACGAGTACTCTGCTCAATTGCAAACTGTATATTCATCCAAATCTTGTCGTGACTCGTGATGCCTGTCATCAGCCTGTGCCACTTCGGCTTCGTACCGGACTTCTGATTTCTGAATGCATGCACCCGGCCTCCATTCCCTGTTTAATTTAATTTGTTTTCGTACAAGAAACCATGCCAGTTTTTGACATGTGCACTGCACGTAGGTCTGTATACTCGGTCCCTGTAAACTTTAGGGGGAAAAAAACTCGGTCCCTGCCAGGGAAGTCACCAAAGAATTTGATTCTGCCTTATCATCACGTGGATTCCCAGCCCAATCGGCTTTAGCATGTTCCTATATGTCTGTGCTGTTGCTTCCATCTGTTTGTTGAAAATGTCAAAGCTAAATATGTTTATACTGATTTGGTATTTCTTTTTTTCGAGCTATAACTGATTTGGTATATCTTTTGTCGTGTGGGTTCAGTTCACCCTCTTATATTACATACAGCCTGATTATTTTTAAACTGAATATATTAGTCTTATTATTAGTAGGGCAAAGATTATTTCCTTGTCTGTCAGAGCTAAGGGATCGGTCTTGTTTGTTTCCCATTATTGCTGATTGCCTACTTGATCCCTACTGATGTCATTACCACTTGACACAACTGCAGATCGACTGGGATGACTCCTCTCCATTATCATTAAAATTGAGCAGATTTGTGAATGCTTGGCAAGTCCAGCTTGTTGCATACCCTCCTCTTCCAAACAGAGTGAGGATTTGCGACCCAATTGCGCCTCTTTGCCCTGGAGATGCCTCTTATCCACTGATCGGATCGGAAAGCCAGGCCATGGCCATGATATTGGGGCCACCAATTCCTGCTGGCATGCAGGGAGCCAGGCACACCGGCCCTTGTGCTGCACCCTCTGAATCCTCTGCAATGCTCACGACTCAGTTGCTATTCCCCCTAACCAACAGGGACCTCCAGATGCCACCGCGTACAAGCCCCAGTGCTTCCTCTGAGATTGTGGATCCTGAAGCTGCTTCTCCTCCCAACAACTCAGTAAGCATGCGTCCAGCAGAGCTTCCAGTCCAAGTGAAGAGCATACAGCTCTTTGGCGCCACAATCACCCCCCATGTTGTGCAGAGTGCTACTAATGGTGATGCTATGGCTGATGACAATGTTGAAAAAGATGTCTAAAACATGCAGCTGTACTTGAAGGTATGGTGTGATCTTCTCAGCACCCCCTGGGTTGTTGCAATGAAAAATGCAGAGTTTAATTTAGGTCAGAATACAAGGTGTATTTGGGGGAGGGGGGTTATCAGATGCTATTACATACAGAACCTTATATGTTTTGATGGATCAACCAAACTAATATTTGTGTCATCATCATGGGCTCCTGTCACCACCGGCAGAGCCTCATGGAGGCGAGCCCCTTTGCTTCAATGATATGAATAGAATGTTGATGGCTGCATATGTTTCTTCAAGTTTTATGGTTTGCAAATCTGGATAAAGTTTAAAGAGTAATATATATAAGGAAGCATAGGAAATCGAAATAGTGATTTTTTGCAAAGACATAAGAAGCTGCAGAAGCAAATTGTTGTTGTAATGCAAAAAAGGAGCACAATCTATCTATAGTTGACACTGAAACATTTTCAACCCCCCTCTCCACGCTTCACCACTGCCTGTCACTGATCTGTGCTTGCAATGCTTTTGTTTGCAGATGCCTGGATAAGACTGGGAGTGTCGCTACTTCTACATCTGGGTTTCTACTAGTACCAAAGTACCAAGTGTCTGTCTCTGTGGTGCATGCAGAGTTTATCTGTAGCTAGCTTTTTAGTAGGCTGTGGGAGTATTACTATTGCAACCCCAGCTCCTTATTATTAGTTGTTGCTTGTTAGCTAGAGAGAAGGAGGTAGCACTTGCTACCTGTCACAGTGGAGGTGCGCGCATTTCATTCGCTGTCACATGCATTTAGATTTTTTTTTCCCGATCCGTTTGGCCTGGCCTAGTTTTAACAGACTACTATATAATGTTGGTTGGTTGATTCAATTATGGGACTTGGTCATATCGCTTTCGTCTGCTCTGCTGTAATCTATTGCTTGCAAATTGCAATTACATCGTGTGGAACTATATGTGGATTTAATTTGGTAACAACAATATCGGTCATTCGTCCTTCCCCCTAATCGTGTGGCATTAATTGTTTGTTGGGTCTGGATCAGCTCATGTGAAGTTATGTGCAAGTGCCAAGCACTCTCACCTCAAGGCTCAAGCACATGCTGACATGCCTGCCTGTCTGCTGTGAATAATTCTTCTTGCGTTGCATGCATCACACACTTGTCAAAGGCAAAGTCCTGCCGAATGTTTTCCCAGTGCATGCATGCATCTCTCTCTCTCTCTCTGGAGAAAAGGCAGTCAAGATGCAACGCATGGTCTTTTCTTTTATATTTTTATTAGTTTCCCTTCTTGAAAAGGGGCATCATGCACTGCACCATATACATCTTCTTTCTGACTAAGCCCGTGTTTAGTTGAGGAAACTTTAGATTTTGGGTTACTGTAGCACTTTCGTTTTTATTTGGTGAATAGTATTCAAACATAGATTAATTAGGCTCTAAACGTTCGTCTCGCAATTTCCCATCAAACTGTACAATTAGGTTTTTTTTCGTCTACATTTAATGCTTCATGCACGAGCCGCAAACATTCGATGTGATGGGTAGTGTAGCACTTTTTGGGATTTTGGGTTGCAACTAAACATGGGCTAAAACAACTAATGCATAGCAGAGTGTTGCTGCATGGTGTGGATGTGATCCAATCCCTCTAACTTCTGATGGGGCCGGGCGAAAAGGTCGTTCCGACATGTCATCCGTCTTGGACCGTCCGTCTGCCCATATCCATCCTTGTCGGTAGATTACTTGTTGCCGATTCAATCACATTCACAGGCAGCTCAGCTGACAAGCAAATCTTGCATCCGATCCGACGACCACTGTCCAGTGTCCACGCCAACAGCTAGCTGCTACTTATCAAGAAAAGAAAAAAAAACAGCTAGCTGCTAGCCCAGGCAGGCAGGCAGCTGTGCATGATTAAGCTCCATCCACCACCAAACCATTTACAGTTTTACATGCACGCCAAACTCATTTCATACAGCCAGAGCCAGGCCGGCATTAGAAGTAGTAGAGTAGTATATTTTTTCCTTTTTTTTTCTGTCATCATCAAAACCCACACAGTACATGGGTGGGTTAATAAAATAATCATATATATACTGAGACCATCACTCCCTGATCAGCATCAAGCACAATCCTCCATTCTCTCTTGTTTTCTTGTTTTTTATTTGAGTATCTCTCTTTCTCTATATAATATATATAGTATAATTCTTGGATGATGATCATTGGATATATGATTGATCCATATGTGTGGTCACCGCTATTACAAACTGTATGCACAAACAGACGAAGTAGTGTACCTGTAGGTAAAAAAAAAGAGGCACTCGCTCACTCACTCACTTTGTACAAGCAAGCAATTGCAAAGCAAGTCGTACGTACGTCAGTAGTAGGTCCAACACTCGAAGCAAGCTTGCATTGGTCGGACTCGGGCGTCGGAGACGCGAGATCCATCCATCGGACACCATGGCCCGCCGGCGCCGACCGGCCAGACCTGACGACCTACCACGCCCGGTCGCCGTGCGCGCGCCTCCGAGTGAGGCTCCGGATCCAGCCTCTCCCTCTCGCCTTGGACCGCTCCGCCGCCGCCGTGGCCTTCTTGCCGTCCAGCCCGGCGACGTGGCACGCCGCCGCGCCGCCCGCCTTGGCCGCGGCGGACGGCCTCCTCCAGCGCGCCAGCTGCAGCAGGCGCCCCACCACCTGCTTGCGCCACCGGGTGACGCCGCCCCGCTTCACGTGCTCCACCGCCACCACCACGGTCGACGACGACCTCGTCGCGGGAGCCGCTGCCGGCTTGCCTGCCTCCGCCTCGGCCTTCTCCTCCGCCGCCTTGTGCTGGCTCTGGCTGTCCCACGTCGCCTTGCCGTTGTCCTCGAATTTGATGGAGATGAAAGAATCTTTTTTGTTTTGTTTTTACACATCCCATTGAATGATTTATTTGCGAAACAAGAAACAAGCAAAGAAATGGATCGGATTATGATACGGACGACGATGATTGATGAATGAAAGGAGCAGTAAGCAGCAATGCAAGCAAGCAGAGGGGTCCGGGCAGCGGCGGTGCCATTAATTAATATAATGTAACAGCACGTACTACTCCAGTATTAATTTAATTAATGCAAGATAGGTGCTGTATGCATGCATGTACCATCGAGGCTTGCGACGGAGGCGGTGGCGTCGTCGTCGTCGGAGTAGCAGTTGTTGTCGGGGTCCCGCCCCCGGTGGTGGCGGGAGTCGAGTCGCTGGAGGAAGGAGGAGCCGAGCGCGAAGACCTTGGGGAGGGAGATGCTGCTGCTCCTGCTCCTACTCCTGCGACGCACGACGTCGTCGCCGGCGTTGTTGTTGCTGTTGGCAGCGGCGAGGAGGAGGACGAGGCGGTCCTTGAGGCAGTGGGCGCAGACGCCGACGACCACATCCCTGGGATGGAAGCAGCAGTAGCCTGGGACGTCGCCCTGCCCATGCCCGTACCCGTACGCCTGCTGCTGCTGCTTGTTCATGCCTGGCCGGGATTGCCTTCCCTTCGCTACTTGTTGCACTGCTAGCTCTAGGCGATCTGCTACTACTTTAAATTTGCAATGGACGTGGATGGTACACACGCTGACTGACTGGAGTGGATTACAGAAAGAAAGGAAAGCCTCACTCCTCCAGTCCTCCTCAATCAGAGAGAGAGAGAGAAAGAGAGGGAGACAGAGGGACGGACGGATGGGAGATCTGCGCAAGCAAGGAGAAGGACTCTTCCGGTTGGCCGCCCCTCCTTGGTGGGGAGGGGATGGAGAGGGACGGTGGCCTGCCTGCCTTCCCAGGCTCTGCTCTGCTACCTCCCCTGTCCCCTCTCTGAAGTCTGAATGAATCTCTGAATAGTCAGCCATGCATTCTGCTTTACAACCTTTTCAATTCTCATGCATCTATGTGTTTTGTTACAATTATATTTATTTAATGTTAAAAGGGGCCGGGGAAATTAATAAAGTAGATCAGATGAAGTGACCAATCAACAACAGCATTGCTCCTAATTAAGCTCTCACTCCCATCCGTTTACCTTAATTGCATGCATGGCCACTATACTATACAATACTATTCCATTTATTATATATAACAATTGTTGTTGCAATAAAATAGATAGAGAACTGCTAATAGTAATTGAAGAATGGGATGGAGGAGAAGCAATGGAACCGGTGGGTCATGCTCATGGATGGGATGGATGGTCCAACTTTGATGGAGAAAGAAGAAAAAGGACCAGCTAGCTAGCAGCTACCAACATTACTGCTACACGATGCATTGCGTTGCACTGCACACCGTTTATATTGATTGACGCACCGTTAGAGTATCTCCAAAAGCTCATTAAAAATTGCTCTACTTGGTAAACCAATGATTGTGGCAGGTGATCTCTACTCTTTTTGGTTAACTTGATGACGTTATTGATCTAGCAAGTGAATTTTGCAAAACTTTTAGAGATGCTTTAAGCCATGTTTCTAATCTAATATATAAGCAAGTTGCCTTTAATTTTCTGTGTCAGCGATGCACGTGGGTGCACGGTCCCGTGAGTCGTGATTCGTGACCCGTCCGCCCACAACGTGTTGCGTCCACGTCTGAAATCTCAATGAACGCCGACCTTTGCCGCGACCGCTACCAACACGTACGTACGCGGGTCGGGCCGTCAGGGTCTCTACCAATCTACCATGCAATGCATTGCATGTCCCACCACCATCATGGTCATGTTCGCTTCTCTTATAATCTATTTTTTTAGCTTTTTTTTTAGCTAAAACAGTATTTTCCTCTTACAATAAATCAGCCGAAACAATGTTTCAACTTAAACGAACGGGACGCGTGTCTACGTGTCCGGTCATGCATGCCCAACTCGATCTGCATGCGTCGTCGACCTAACTGCATATCCACCTCTGAAAAAAAACACACCATCTCATACCAAATATCTTTCTTGGAAAAAAAGAAGAAGAAAAGGGATATACATGAGTACCCTTGTAAGTAAGTTTAGGACTTGAAATCAACTGAAAAGACATTATTAATAGTTTAATAGAAAGAACTTAATAA